TTGTCAAAAATCAAGTGTTCATAGGTGTGTGGGTTAGTATTATGGTTTTCAATTTGATTCCATTGGACTACCAGTCTATTTTTGTACCAACACCAAGCTGTTTTCAGGACTATAGCTTTGTAATAGAGCTTGAAGTCAGGGATGGTGATGCCTCTGGAAGTTTCTTTGTTGTACAGTGTTGTTTTGGCTATCCTGGGTCTTTTGTTTTTCCATTTAAAGTTGAGGTTTATTCTCCCAAGGTCTGTGAAAAATTGTGCTGGGATTTTGATGGGGATTGCATTGCTTTTGGCAAGATTGCCATTTTTACATGTTGATCCTACCTATCCAAGAGCCTGGGAGATGTTTCCATTTTCTGGTATCTTCTTTAATTTCTTTCTTTAAAGACTCAAAGTTCTTGCTATGCAGGTCTTTCACTTATTTGGTTATCATTACTTCACGATATTTTATGTTGTTTGTGGCTAGTGTAATGGGTGATGTTTCTCTGATTTCTTTCTCAGCCCATTTGTCATCTATATATAGTAAGGCTACTGATTGTTTTGAAATAATCTTGTATTTATTCACTTTGTCGAAGGTACTTATCAGCTGTAGGAGTTCCCTGAAGAGTTTTTTGGGTCACTTATGTATAGAGTGAAAGTTTGACTTCTTCCTTTCCAATTTGTATCCCCTTGGTCTTACTTTGTTGTCTTATTGCTCTAGCTAGAACTTCAAGTACAATATTGAACTGATATGGAGATAGTGGACAGCCTTGTCTTGTTCCTGGTTTTAGAGGAATCGCCTTGAGTTTCTCTCCACTTAGTTGATGGTGGCTGTTGGAGGAGATATGGAGGAAGCAGGATGGGCTGTACATGACAGAGTGTAGATTAATAGAAATGGGTTAATGTACGTTATAAAAGCTAGTTTGAAACTTAAGGGGAGAAAACTCTGTGGGACACATCTTGGCAGGCTTGGCATGCTGGACTAAGTGGACTCCAGGACTGTTTGAGCTTCCATGTGGTCACTGAGCCATGCTCAGGGGGTTCTCCCCCCTTTTGGATCTGATGGGAACTCAGAGTTCACCTGCTGTGTAGCTCCAGGTGACCCTTTCTGCTGCCCAGTTCCAAGCATTGAGTAATGTTTGACTTAACACCTGCGTTTGAAGGAATGGCAGGTGGGGCTTTGCCTCTGCTTGAGCACGAGGGCTCTGCTGCCCCATAGCTTAGATTTTTGTTTTTCCTCACAGCAGGGATAACCCAGTATAGAGTGACCAATGGTCCCTTCATGAAAACAGGTTTAACTTGTAGTATATGAACAACTGCAATTAAGTCTGATAGAATGTGAAACTAGGTAGTACATGAAACCTCCCTGTTTTTGTAGTCCATAAAAAGACAAAAAAATAAAATAAAATTTTATCATTACATGACCTTAGGCACATATGCAACTGTGAAAACCATGGGAGCTCTTTATCCAGGGCTTCTTTGCTCCTACTCTGATTCTATAAGGACATCACATTATTACCCTTGACTTAAAAGGCTGTTTTTTCCTCTATTCCTTTTCATCCTGCTAAGGCAGGTTGTGTATTCTCTGTTCCTACTTTAAACAGTCAACAGTCAATGACCCCATAACAATGGGAAATTTTACCACAGGCATTGAAAGTAGCCCCAGTGTCTGTCAACATTATATAGATAAGTTGCTTAAGCCTGTGCTGATTAAATGTCCTGAGGTATTGGTCATTCATTATACGGGTGACATCCTCTTTCCCTGCTTATCTAATCCATATTTAAATGAGTGCTTAACTTTCATGGTAAATAACCCAAGCGCAAAATTTAAACATAGCTCCAGATAAAACACAAAAGCAATTACTTGGAATTATTTAGGATATATTATTACTCAACAAATTCACCACTATCATCTCAGCTTGAAGCTTCCTAGACAATGTACCCTCAATTACATATTAAAAAAAAATTTGACCATGTCAATTGTCAATTGCGTATGTTCTTTTTTTTTTTTTTTGGTTTTACAAGACAGGGTTTCTCTGTATTGTTTTGGAGGCTGTCAGTCCAGCTCGGCCTCGAACTCACAGAGATCCACCTGCCCCTGCCTCCTGAGTGCTGGGATTAAAGGCTTGTACCACCACCACCCAGCTGGGTATGTTCTTAATTTACCTATCACAATTTAGGATTTAGTTCTGCTATTCAAGTTGCTTTCTGGAGATTTCTGGTTAAACACTATAAGAATCATAACACCTGAAGCAGAGCAAGTTATTAGTTTATTAAATTAGCAAATGTATGAAGTAATGCTGCTACTAATGCCGGAATTAGGTCCCAAAGAGAATGTGTGGAGTCATCAAGGGAAGGAGACTGACAGGACCTGAAGGTGAATCAGGATGGATGCCTGTTTACTGAAATTAAGCTACACCCTATATATTCTATAATTGCATTATAGTTTAACCACAATCAATATTGAAAGCATATTTAATGTTTCTGGGGTTAAAGTGGTCATCAGTATTATTACAGGATTTTTCTTGAAGCAAAAAGCAGTACATTTAGCAAGAATCTAAATTGTTCTTTAAGGTTCAGTAACCCCACCAACCTCTGGCAGGTCTCAACACTTGTGGTCAGGAGGTATTAGATGTTGAGTCCTAAGGAAAAAACCTGTATGAGCAATTTTCTTCCTCTAGGGGATTGATGCGTTGAGCTGTTACCTAATTGCATTCTTCTGTGGTTTAGTCTTATAATATGAGCCTGTTCTCATACAGTCTCAAAAAGGAAGTTCCTGATGTCTTACCCTTTTTCTGTTTTATCATACCATTCTGATTTCTTTAATGTATACTCCTGTATATAGCAGAGGGAGATCAAGCCAGTCTAACTGAACAGAATCTGCTCCTCGTGGGACAGAACAGATCTTGTCATTCACCCAGTAAGCCATTAATTGTGGGCACTATTCTACACTTATTAACTGAACTCTTACCTTAAGTGGCCTCAGACTCTGGATCTGGGCCCATTGTTTTTCTTGATTGCTTATTTTTCATTCCATGGACAAGGTATACCCAGTTAGTAAATCTTTAGCTTCTTTCTTCCCAATGTAATGGTGGGGAGAACACAGTGGGGTGTTCTGGGTGGGAGGTAAGGAGAGTTCTCATGTTACATGGTTCCACGGTGATGGAGCCTTTTTTCCAAAGAATTGTTTTATTTAAAGAGGCTGCCATTGTATACATTTTCATCCTTCACCAAAGTCTGCAAGAAATTTCCCAAAGGCAAAGGCATAGGGAAACTTCCTAACACAAAAGTGAAAATCACTAAAAATAAAAGTCAGTTGTTTTGGGTGTTCTGTACTTATCACCATTTCACAGCAACTTTAACTATGGGTCTTTCAGTTCTCTCTATTCACCACTCCTGGCCTCTACACCCCTGGAGCCGCTACTATCTCCCTCCCTCCTTTTCCGTAATCTAGAGTGAGCCCCAGACCCTGCTGTAGACCATGGAAGTTCAGAGTGAAGTAGTAATGATGAACTCTGCTCCCTGACTCAGGGCCTGATAGGAGGAGCTGAAGGAGTAGAGAGGAGCTCTATCCAGAGAGGAACCTAGATCCTGATTTTCCAGGCTCCCTCCCTCCTTTCCTCCCTCCTTCCTTTCTCCTTGGAATGGGATTCTCTTCCCTCTACATAGTAATTGGAACTACCATGTTCATTTTATGTGTTCCTACTGTCTCCACATCTACATTATGGGACCCTCCTAATTTGGAACATGCTTAGATCATGCACCTCCTGGAGTCTCTTCATTCCCCACTGCTTTATGACAATAATCCTCTCATGTCAAAAAAAGTATGAATGAGCTACTGCTAGCAGGTAACACGAGCTCAGACTCCCTTGCCTCCTTTATGAATAAGACCACAGTTGAGGGGCAAGAGTAGAACTCCAGGAATTCACTCTTCCTTCCTTACTCCTTATGTATCTATCTCTTGTCCTCTCCTAAGACTGCCCTCAGTACCTGTCATCACAAAGAATTCTCAGTTAAAAAACCACAAGGGAGCTTGTGAGAATTACCAGAAAGACAAAGGAGCTGAGTATGATGGCCACAGAAGAAGCCTGGTCCACATCTGGTCCCCAGTTGGTGGCAGCTCTTTGGATAAGTTTAGGTGGTGTGACCTTGGTGAAGGAAGCTTGTCATTGGGGGTATGGCTTTGAAGGCCCAGTTCTCCATCTCTGCATCTTGTTTGAGGTTTAAGATGTGGGCTCTCAGCTTAGTGTAGTGTAATCCCAGTAGGTAGGAGGCAGAGACAGGTGGATCTCCATGAGTTAGAGGTCAGCTGGGTCTTCATAGTGCGTTCCAGGACAGCCAGAGCTGCATAATGAGACCGGGCTCTCGGTTTGCTGCTCCAGCTGCTCCAGGCATCCTGCCATCATGCCCACTGCCACACTTCCCTGCAGTGATGTGATGGACTCTTGTCCCTTTAAAACTATACATTCCCTCAGACCTTTCCTCTTGTATGTTACCTTGGTTATGATGATTTATCACAGCAAAAGAAAAGCAGCTAATACATCTATCATGTAAATACTGAAGTCTTTCCTGGCAAGACACCCTCCGTTACACCTTCTTGTAGGGAAAAGGGACCAATCAAAGAAACACACCCTGAGCAGAGCCAAAGAAACACACTTTGGCCCTGCAACCACAACCAAAGAAATGTACCCTAACCCTAAAACCAGTGCCAAAGGAACACACTTTGTCCCTGGAATCAGAGTCAGTGAAAGAAATGTACCCTGGCCCTAAAATTGGAGCCCAAAGGCTAAAAAGGACCAGAGAAAGAAACACACTTTGGCCCTGAAACCAGAGCCAAATCTGACCCTAATCCTGTGTAAAAAAGTAACCAATCCCGGAGCAGAGCTCTAGCCAATCTGAGCTCAGCACTGAAATCGGACCAATCCCTACTCTGGAAAAACTTCCCCAACCCCAGGAATCCCTATATAAACCCTGTGTATGTTCAGCTTGGCTGGTCCAGCTGTCTTCCAATAAACCCCTTTGGATGAGCTTCTGGTGAAGATCTTCTTTTGCGGCGGTGACAGAACAGAGGCGACCCTGGGCAGAGCAGAGCAGAACAGAGTGACCAGCGCTGTAACACTTGCCTGGGAAACCTTCCTTGGCAGAGCAGAGTTGTTACACTCTGCTCCGGGCTCCCTGCTCTCTGCTCTCCGCTCTCCAGGAGCAGAGCTGAACTGTAGCAACTTCGCCCGAGAAACTTCCTGCGGAGCAAAACTGCTACACTAGGCGAACATCCCCAGCTGGAAGACCTTGTCCTGCCGGAGTGGAGCTGATACACCGGAGAAGCCTTTCTCTGAGGCAAGGCTGTAAGCTGCCAAGCTTACTGCAACCTGTGGTGGTCCTTGGCTCCCGAGCTCCAGGATACCTTTCTACCTGAGCTGTTTAACACTCAGTATCCTTGGCTCCCGAGCTCCAGGATACCTTTCCACCTGAGCTGTGTAACACTGAGTAGTCTGTGACTCCGGAGTGCCAGAATACCTGACCCACTCCTGTTCCATCCTGTCCTGACCCATCCCGACGAAACACTTACACTTCTCAACTCTGCTCTTGTTGCTTGAAGCAGTCAGAGACAATATCTTCATGAAGAGCATGGTAGGACCTGCCTCTAGGACCCTATTGCCCAAGACAATCTCTCAGCCTGAAATGTCAGTACTAGGAAATAGCTCTGTGTGGAGTTCATAACAGTTCCTAATTGGAGAATCACCTTGCTTGGGCAGAAGCCAGCCTGAGCCACCTTCAGCAGGGAATATATACTCCACTTCACAGGGGCCTCTGGGTCCTGGAAGAGAGTGGCGTCTGGTTCTAACAGGCCCCAGGAGACATCATGAGGTGAGCTCTTTCTCACTATGTTGTTAGGTGGATGGGTCACAGTCAAACAAGATATCTAAAAATGCAGGAACATAGTGGTCACTTGTATGTTGAGAGCTGCCTAGAAGGAGAGACAAAGATTTTTGTCTGACCGAGCATGTCCTGCTCCCCAGATGATTGTGGGGATCTTATCTCTCCTAGAAGAAGTAACTGAGCTTAGTTCTCAACTAAGCTGCCACCTCTCCCTAAACAAGCACTCTCCAGATTTCAAGGAGTGTGCTCTGTGTTTCGTGGAATCCAAGGAATCCATTGAAGATCAATGGGGAGACCAAGAGGCCCTAAACCCAAGACCCATTAATAGCTGACTCAGAAGCCACAGGCAGCAGAGACCTCACTGCTGACTTGGAAACATACAGCTTTAGCAATAGTTGAGATGAGCATCAATGGGATATACCCTAATCTGGGGTCTGAAGATCCCATTCATTAAGGTTTTGCTTTCTGCTACTGTCACACTACATGCAGAACTGAGTATCTGATTCAGGGGTGGATACATTGTGGCTTGCCGGGTTGAATATACTTAGTGTCTGCCATTTTCCTGCCATCGGAAAAATGAACCTACTCCTTCCTAAAGAATATCATTATCTGATGCCAATTCCCTAGCAGGTAGATGACGCGGATCTGGGAGACAAGAGTAAAAGCTTTCACATGTTGCCACCCTTTACCATTGCCGGAGTCCTCCATAGTGGACAAGGTGTGCCAGCCCCTGATTAGCTGAGGCATCTTCAGTCGTGAACAAAGATTGCCACCTGGTGGAAGAGGGGGTAAAAGGCACTTTGTGGATAGGAGAGGGAAAGAAGAAATTGCTGCAAATTCTATGGTGTGGGTTAAAGTGTGAAATCCTGCCTGAAAATACAAGAAGAAAGAAAGGAAAAAAGGCAAACAAACAAGTGAGTACGTGGGTGGTCTTGGCTGTCTTGTCCCTGGAAATATTTATTATGATAAGATGGTAACCTATGGTGGGAAGGTGGGAAATTAAGTTCAAGGGCAAAGAGATCGGGGAACCTGGAAGGCTTGTGAGGAATTCCAGGGAAAGGCATTTTTTAGAACATAAAATACTTTGGGTCCAGAGGAGAAGTCTGAGACCCCCTACTGGTGGGGTCCCGCACTGTGCCAATCATATCCGGTCCTGGCGACTTTGTTCTTCTTCCTGTGGACCCCAGTAGGTCTGAGGGCGCCACCAGTTACTCCCCTATGTCACCTTGTCCTTCTTCCTCATGTAGTCCCTGGCCTGCCCTCCCACAGTAACTTTGCCAATTCACGACGTCTGGTTGAGGAATGGGCAGCGTGAAGACCAGGAGCACGCCAGACTGGTGTCTTGGTGGTAGTGGAGGGGAGGAGGAGGAGGAGCCCAGCAGCTCCCTGCAAGGAGTACTGGAACCTTTCAAAGTCAGTAGGGTTCTGCCTGCCGCAAAGCCGCCCCCCCACCCCTGCCACAACTCACTGGCCAGAAGCGTGGACCACAGACAGCTCAGCAGAGACAAAGGACACACAGAGCCAGGGTGGAAGGATTGCTGCAGCCTTTGCCAAGGTTCCGCCCTGAGACCTGGTGACAGGAGTGACTGGAGGTGAGGAGGGAATCCTCAGTACCACTCTGCAGAGAGAGGGTCGTGTTCAGAGATTCTCGGATGTTCCATGCATCTGGGGTGTGAATTCAGGAGGATCCATCGTGCTCCAGTCACACAGTTCCTACTTTCCGTCTTCACCCACATCCCTTGAGTGGTCACTCCGTGTCCCTGTGGCTCTGTTCCTGCCTCCCTGCGGACAGGGCGGACCACTATCCTCTCAGTCCTGAGGCTGCCCATGAGCGCTGCGACTATGAACTGAGAGGCGAGGTCACTGCTGTTCTGGCTTCCCACAGCTCCCATCTCTTTATCTCACTCATTAGTAGCTGAGTCCTCAGGAACACTCGGCAGAAAGAGAAAAGAGAGGCACAGAATAAAGTCGGTATTTCAGTGTTTGCCTCTGCAGACCACAGCCAGAATATGACAACTTCATTATCGATGGCCGTCCCGGCCCTAACAGGTGGTCCATGCCCACATCCACCCCTTCCCTATCACCCTTAGGAGTCCCTGCCCTTATTAAATAAGTTCCCCCAGTCTTTGCCCTCCCAGTTTCCCCTACTCCTCACCAATCCTCCGACACAGCGAAACATCAGACACTCACTATTTCATGACCCTCTGTTGTGGGTCTTCGAGAGGCCTCTGTCTGCTAGAGTCTTTGTAAAGGAGAGCTCACTCAGTTTCCGTCCTTTTCTCCACTTGCTCATCAGGCACTGGGCCCTGTTGTTGCTAGGGAGGAGGGGCAAGCTTCTTGAAACTTCTAGTCCTCTGGTTTGGCCCAGTTCCAGGGCCATTTCCTAAGTTCCCAGGAGTGGAGGGTGCCCCACCCTATTCCTTCCTCCCTCACCCCGTCCTCTACACCACACACCAGAGTACTAGGGTTCCTCTTAGTTTTTTGTTTTTCCCTTGCAGCAGGAATTAAAGACTAAGTATGGATTGATCAGTGATCACTTCACGGGAAAAAATTAAAATAGGTTCAACTTCTAACACAGGAACAATTGCAGTTAGGATATAAAGAACATTCAGTCCTTTGGAACTCCCCTAATTTTATAATTCATAAAAGAAAGAAAATAAAACTTTCAACTGTTTCATGATCTTAGGGGCATAAATGCAACTATGGAAACAATGCTCCCCTCCCACGCATCTCAGCCAGGGGTCCCAGCTCCTACACTAATTCCTCAAGGATGTTACCTTATTATACTCAACTAAAGTCTGTTCTTTTTCTCTATTTACATCTTGATGGTAAGGGGCATCTTGCATTCTCCTTTCCTACTTTAAACAGCCATTGACTCCATATCTGTGGGAAGTCTTACCACAGCAACAATAATGTCCCAATGTCTGTCCATATTATGTAGATAAAATGCTTAAGTCAGTGCTGATTGCATTTCCTGAGGTACTGGTCATTCTCCAGCTCATGTAATCAATATGCAGATACTTAGCGTTCATGGTAAATGAACTAAGAAGAGCAACATTTAAGTATAGTTCCAGATAAAATACAAAAGCAATCACCTTATAATTATTTAGGATATATTATTACTCAACAAGAAATTCACTATTATCTTCTCAGTTTAAACTTCACATATTGCCCTGGCTGTTATTGATTGTGTTCTTATGCTGGAGTCTAGGCATTTGGGTTTGAAGTCATTATAGGACTAGGTGCCAGTGTCTATGTTTGTCTTTGTTGGATGGGTGTTTCGTTCCTTGCTTTCTGTCTTGTCTCATATCTTCTGGCTAGTGTGTCCTGTGATTGAGCAGGGGTTTCTGCATGAGTTGGGAGCTGGACTTCTGCAGCAGGTGTGACCTTTGGATAATGCTTCTTCTGTGACTCAAAGGGGACACAATCTAAACTATATGTTAAATGGACAGTGTGGTGATATATTGTTTATGATTTATTAAAGCCACTGGAGAAAAAAATAGAAAAATAGCCATACTAGTTAGCCATAGAAGCCAGGCAATGTTGGCATATCCTGACCCGCAGGACACTCATTGTGGGTCTGGTGGACACCTAGGGAAAAGATGGGGGGCAGGGGATACAAGGACGGATGCCAAGACAAGAATCTGATCAAGGCGACAACGTTATTCATCCCAAAGGGATTTATATAGGGGAAGGGAGGAGGGGAAGGAATGGGGGATATGCTGTAGCTGCGATGAACCTGGTAGAGCAGAAGGTCAGTGGGATGGGTAGGGCATCCTGTGTCCTCTGGTAACCTAACTGCAGACTCTAACTTTATCTTTCACATTCCACCTTCTATTAAGCCTACGCCCTAGATAAGCCGCAGGTCTGTTTCTGGAATTTGGCAGGTAGCAGGGTGGTCCTGAGTCATGTACTTTCTATGAGAGTCTTTTCTTATGAGTACGCGAGGCAGCCATACCTGGTTGATAGCTGGAGGTCCCTGACATTGGCATACACCTTTAATCCCAGGACTCAGGAGACAAAGGTTGATGGATTTCTCTGAGTTCAGGGTCACCCATGGCTACATGAGATTGAATCAATCTAAGAGAGTAACAGAGCTAATACCTTTGATCCCATCACTTGGGATCACAAACCTTTAATGCCAGAAATAGGATGGTGGAGACATGAATGATATGGCAGTCAGAGAAAGGGATAAGAGGAAGAGGAATCAGGAACTGAGAACATTTGCCTCTAAGGATTTATGGAGACAGGATTGCCATTTCAGCTGGAAGTAAGATCTACTGGTTTGGCTGCTTTGTTTCTCTGATCTTCAGCTTGAAGCATGAACCACAATATCTGTCTCTGGGTCTTTTATTTTTCGTGCAACAGGAAAGATCTAGAAACTAATTAATGAAAAGGAACACATGTTCTTTTAACATTAGTACAAGGCTATGTTTGTGTCTTTTCATAAAAGGGATGAAGTGCCAGGATGTCTCCCACTTCAATACATCCAACCACGACAGCACACTGGAGACCACTGGGTAAATGAAGTGTCTGAAGATAGATGACAAATATATCAAGAAGAGACATTCCAAGTGGAAGAGTAAGCTGACAACTTAGAGAAACATCAGGATTTTAACTCATCAAGACAAGACCTTGGGGGAAACAACAAGGACACAATACTACTGACCACAAATGATCCTGATATGTCTACTGACTGTATTACATGTTAATTCTTAGCTTGTAAATGCAAAATCCATTTTTTTTTGCCAGGAAGGAATAAAAGACACCTGTGTGGAGATCCATAGAAGTGGCTCTATTCCATCTTGACGTAAGGTCAAAGAGTTCAAGCCTATTATTGCTCCTTCAAGGATAAACCTCAATGAGTGTGGCCTAAGGTGTGGCTATTGTGTGTCTTGCCGGTACAACAAGATATTTGATCTAGGGTGTAGCAAATGGTTGTCTTACCTAAACAAAAGAATATTTGGATTAAGATGTAGTTACTTGATGTTTTGGGTTTTAAGGAGGTAACTACATCTGTTTTTTTCCTTATTATCATGCTAAGGAAGTCTTTTGCCTTCCTTCATTTAATTGGGGTCTATAAGAACTTGGATCAATAAACTTGGGGCTGATCACAGTATTTACTGAATGCCCTGCCATCTCTATCTTGTCTATCTTCTGTTTCTTGTCTGTTTCTTTCCTCAATCCACACTCCTCCTTTCAAGAATGTATCAGATAAATTGGCTGACCCAGACACACCTGTAATAAAAAACAGCATATAATGTTGTTTTGCCTTGCTAAGTATTATTTTAGACTTTTAAAATAACCAGTCCAAAGAATGATTACTAGAATACAAAGAGTGCTCTCAAAGATGACCTGTATGATTAGTAAAACTACTAATATTACAGCATAAAATATATTAACAAAATAATCAAGATATAGGTGAATTGAAAAATCACAGTTTTACAAAACAGAGCTACTACAGATTATTTGTTGCTCAAGCATAATTTTGCTCCTCAAGAATTTCCTGGCATATGTTTCTTTAATGTGTCATATTTTTCTCATAATATTGATGGCCTACATAAAGACACTAAAAAACATCTCTCAAATGACCTATGGATGACTATTATAGTTAAGATGGATTTATCTTTCTTTAGTCCTGTGTTGATTATGTTATAATTGCCTTGTGCTTGTCTATGTTAGTTAAAGTAGCCATCTAGGCAATGTATTAAACTTTGTCTTCTATTACAGCAACTATTTTCTCTCTAAAAAATAAAAAAGGGGGAGGCATAAGAGGCATGTAGGTGCTTATGCTCATAGAAACACTAGGGAAACCAGGGATGTTAAACGTGCAGGGTTGTATTTTCAAAAAGAGAGATGTATATAACCTGTTTTCTGCTCAGAATTCTTTTTTTTTTTTTTTTTTTTGGTTTTTCGAGACAGGGTTTCTCTGTGGCTTTGGAGGCTGTCCTGGAAATCACTTTGTAGACCAGGCTGGCCTCGAACTCACAGAGAGTGCCTCTGCCTCCCAAGTGCTGGGATTAAAGGCGTGCGCCACCAACGCCCAGCTTCTGCTCAGAATTCTAGCAGTGGGGGTGGTTAGTAGACTTCTGTGCTGTCTGTATGGCCAGGTCACATTGAATCACCCAGAGCTTTATCTTGAGCCTGTTTAAATCTCAGTCAGTCTCCAGGCTTTCCTCTCCAGACTCTTTTTTTTTTTTTTTTTTTTTTTTTGGTTTTTCGAGACAGGGTTTCCCTGTGGCTTTGGAGGCTGTCCTGGAACTCACTTTGTAGACCAGGCTGGCCTTGAACTCACAGAGATCTGCCTGCCTCCTCCTCCCAAGTGCTGGGATTAAAGGCGTGCGCCACCAACGCCCGGCTTCCTCTCCAGACTCTTATCATATACTTTACTTACCTCGATTCTGCTTCCTTAGTTAATATATAGAACCCATCTTTATGGAAGATGTCACTTGTACTTTACAAGAGTTTTGATGTAAATCTATCTTCATCTGTGTTGTGCACATGGGATTGAGTTAGTTATCACTACGAAACTTTTTCCCAAATTGTTCTGTGCTTACATATGCAGAAAATAAACTGCAAAGTGTCAGACTACCAAAGTTAGTATCAACACCAGCTATTGAGTTGTGCTGAACCTAGTTTCCTTCTTTCTTCTCCTGAAACAATAGTCTGATGGTCATCGTGTTTGCAGAGACTACACCCCCCACACTAATTTCCTCTTTTGAACCCTTGTTAGCATAGTTCATCATGGCCACAGAAGCCATACTGTGGAAGTAGATTACTTACCCTGTTCTAGAATGCTGCAAAGCAAGAGATATCGCTTTTCAGGACACTCCCCATCACTTTTCTGCCAGTAGGACCCCTTCTAAGGGTACTGCCACTTCCTACCAGTGTCACAGGTGAGGTGATCTTTATATCTGTGTTTTTGTGAGACAGTATTACTTTTTAACCATTTATAAAATTTTAATGGAGGATGGAAATAATTGTGCATGGTTTCATTTCTAATGATGGGTACAACTAAGACTTTCATCCAAACCTTTCATTTAAATACAGAATATTGGTCTACATATTGTTTCATAATAGAGAGGCCTGGTTCCTTCCTAAAGATATTGGCTTATTGAACAACCTTACAGGAAGAAACAGAAGCTCAGGGAATGACAGGTCAATGATTAGATAGAGCACCCACTGACCTTAACCTTAGGTTAGGACCAAGAAGGTGGACTTGGGAGTGCAGGATGGTCACTGGATCTCTTAGACACATTGAATATATCTTCTTTTTCTGGTTTTCCTTATTAATTCAGCACTTTCAGTTGATTTATCAACAACAGGATTATTTGTCTGTAGGAAAACAAGTCACCTGTAATCTATTTTTAACCTTCCCGAGTGACCTTCATTAACTAGTTTACATGGCTTCTTGGCCCTCAAATTTCCCTCATCATTTAGAATTCTGTGAGGTGCATCGTGCAGGCAGGGCAGCAAACCACAAAGAGGTGCAAATGAAAACTCAGTTCAGAGTGACGTCATTAACCTGGATCAAACCTCAGGAGTCTGATGCCAGGTGGCTTATTACCAGCACACTAAGACCCAGTACAATTTGGAAGAAAAAAGCTTCCTGGTGTAATACAATCCCTGGTGTGTAAGACATGATTACACTGAAACTCAACTCAAGTTACATGTGATTTCTTCCAAGATGATGGGTTTTAGAGATAATATACCTGTATTATCTTAAAGGTCTAAGGAAGGGCCTGGCCCAGTCTTGGTCATACAGATCCTGTAGAGGTCATTTGGTCGATAAGTTATCTCTGGTCCTGGTTGTAGGTGCTTGATATGACCTAGTCCAACCGATAATGTCCATCACTAGGCTGCTAATCACTTTCCATTCTCAGAATTCTGGATGGGAGAACAGGTTTTAGGACCATTCCTGTGAGAAGACACTCCTGTGTACTTAACATTCCTGGTTCCCATGGAGAAAGGTGGGCAAAAAGTCCTTCATGCTGTGTTCCCAACAAGGCTGAATTTCCAAGATCACTATTGTCATTTTCTGTATAGACATTAGGTGGCAGGCTAGATCCATTTAACAGCTCTTTATAGCTTTGATTGTCACGGAACAACCAATACCACATTAAAAACAAAACAAAATAAAACTTCAAATGCATCAGAGATTTAGTGTCAGACTTTAAGTTTAAATGTCAAGGGACCTAAACATCTTTTAAGTGAAAGTACAAATTGTCAGTAAATACACGGAGAAAATGTTTCATCAAACTACAAGGAAGAAGTGATGGTGGACACTTTTAGACAGAAAGATCTTACAGATTTCGAACCTAGTCTGGTCTACAGAGTGAGTTCCAGGACAGCTAGGACTGCTACACAGGGAAACTCTATTTCAACAAGCAAGCAAGCAAGCAAGCAAGCAAACAAACAAACAAAAAACAAAATACAAGGAAGAAGCACTTCAGAACAAAAAACAAAAAAAAGCATCGACCTTCTGTAGGACTCTAACATTTCAGGAAATCACAGCTAGAACTGACAAATGAAATAAAAAGCTTCTACATAGCCAGGGAGACAACTACCAGAATGAGGAGACAGCTTAGAGAGTGGGAGAAAGTCTCTGCTAACTATTCATCCAATGACAGGTATGCACCTGAAAGTTACTGGGAAGAATCTCACCTGACTAGAGCTTAAAAGACTGTTCAGAGGGTGAAATGTTGCAGATCCAGGCCTGTGTCTTCAAGACTCAAGTACTAATTTCTGCACACCCAGACTGTGATGGAACTTGCCCAGTTACACAATCAGCCTATGTCTGTGGATGGATGAATGGAGACACACACACACACACACACACACACACACATTATTATGCTATAAAGAAACAAGAAATCTTGTTATTTTCAGGAAAATAACACAGAAATAAAAGTAAAGTATATATACAGGGAGGACATGTATAAGAGGGTCTGGAAAGCGTTTCAAGCTGTCTATGCTCCCCTCCCTGGACCTCTTTCTGGCTGTCTGTGTCACGAGCTTGGATATAGTTGGCTGAAAACTCAACACAGAAACTACCAGAAATTATGCTGCATAGAAAGTTGCTATGATGGCTGGTTATCTCTACCCAGCATAAAATAAGTTGACACTTTTTTTGTGAGACCTCTGCACTTTTGTTTATTTTTATTCATGCTTTTGTCTTTTTATTAATATTTTCCTTGTATGTAAGCCTGTCATCTATGTGCTCATAAATCATCCTGTGATTTCACATATACTTAAAAAATTGTCAGGAAGGAGTAAGTCAAAATACTTTCTTTCTCTCCTTTAAATAGTATAACCCCAAAAGCCCCCAAATCACTTCCCATTGACAGACTGAAGGATACTTCTCTATGATGTGATTCAAAATACACATGCCCTTTTTCCTAATCAAAAAACAGGCTATGTTTGTATGACTCGGACTTATCTTGGAGTTCTCTACTGTATCCAGAGAGGCCCAACTGCATCCAAGCAGAGGCCCCTGAGACTGTGAGACTGACTTCCTCAGGCTGCACCCTTGGAAGCTTTGATTCCTGTTTCCTGGGCCACTGTCTGAAGGGTGACTCTGGAGGACATGAAAAGGTACCCAGGATGAGGGCAATTGGAAGATAATAGACTTTCCACCAGACTGCAGTTCAGGGGATCATGGCCTGATTCTTTTTTACTGTCCTCACCATACTACCTATTGGTGGCAGTGTTGAAGCCAGAACTCTTCAAGTCCCTGCCACTCTGCTGTCTGTCTGGACTTCTCATTACTAGGATATTTAAGACACTTAGTGATTCTGAAAGTCTAGACTGGAAAGAGTAACAGTCAACAAATTTTTTCTTTTCTCTTTTCATTTTCTCATTTTTCTTTCAGTCAATCACTTAACTTTCAGTTTTACAAAAAAGATGCAAAGCATAAGACAGAGCTTCTCCAAACGACTTACGTGTATATACAGTCAGAGAAAAATTATATTGGAAAAAATTAGATGGGCAAAGAACTTGTTCTAGATGATGGAAATAAGGGGAGATGGAATTCAATTCTTTTGGCGCAAAAAGCAGAAGCAGCAGAGATAGCTGATGCAAACTAATGGGAAAATCCCAGGGGGCATTATGGAAGAGGTCAGCTATTGGCTTAGGTGTGTGCTTTCTCAGTGTGTGCTTCCTGGTGCTGAGCAGAGGCCCTTCTCTTTCTTAATGACTGAAGTAGTGGAATGGCTCCTGAGTCTTTGACAGAGACATTACTAGGGTATACACCTGGAAACAGGCAGAAGATTTGTATCTCAAAGGGACATAGAAAGAATGCACAAGTAAGTGTTCAAAGGCATATGCTTTTAAAAACATGAGGGTCAGTCCATTATTGTCTGGGAGAAAACTGTCTAAAATTTAGTTAAGTCCAAAGGAATGTTAAGGGGGACTACACCCACCCACCCACACCCACACCCAAACCCACACACACATTTCTCATGCCATTATGACCCAACTGAGCTTAAACTATGGCTCCAGAGAGGCAGATATACGAAATTTTGGTGAAAATATAATTATGGAAAGTGATATTTGATCTCATCAGTGTTTTCCCTTTGTTTGTAAGATCCACAACTTGTGGCTAGGAATGAACACCTGGTCTCACTTGAGTTGGAAGCAGTGAATGAACATCTGGTCTCACTTGAGCTCTAAGCTGTGCTCTCACCTTGCTTGTGGGTGCTAAAGGGAAGTGGAAGCAGCAGGGAGGACTTTACTGTACAGAGCTGGAGGTGGCAGTGTGCGTGGGGACCCTGAAGTGTGAACAAGCAGCAAGCTTTCACAAAGTTTCCAGTTCTCTCTTGCATGTCCTGTTCCCAACTCTGCCGATTACCACATATTAAAGTTTTAGCATAAGTTCCTGGGATTCCCTCCTTGCTTCAGGTATGTTTAATCATTTCTGATTGAAGTTTTGATACATATAATCAATATAATTTTTTCCTTGGTGAAATAGCTCCCCCTTAAAGCAACTTTTTGTTTTTAATTGTTTCTTTAGTTTACAAGTGTGAGCGTTATACTTGCATGTGTGTTTGTGAACCATTTGTGTACCTGGTGTGCCAGGAAACTACAAGAGCAAGACATAACCTGAGCTAGGAATTACAGAGAGTTGTGAACCACTATGTGCATTGCTGGAAATTGAACTCAGATCCTCTATAAAAGCAACCAATATTCTTAACTATTGAGTGTTCTGTTCAACCTTGATTAAGACATTTTTGATGAAAACAAGCATTAACCAGAGTACATAAGAAAGCAAGGTTTCATTTGGGCACATTTTCTATTTTCTTTATTAATTTATTTATTTTACATTATGACCACAGTCTTTCCTCCTTCACTTTATCCCCCTCCTCATCTATGTCACCCCTCTGTCCACCCCTTCTCCATAATCACTCAGAAAGGAGCAGGCTTCCTATAGCTTCAGCAAAGCCTATAGGAAGACCAAGATTTTTTAAGGCAAAGGACACAGAGTACAAGACAAAATGTCAGCCAACAGAATGGGAAAAATATTCACCAACCTCACATCTGACATAGGGCTGATCTCCAAAATTTACAAAGAACTCAAGAAGCTAGCCACCAAAACACCAAATAATAATCCAATTAAAAAGTTGGTTACAGAACTAAATAGATAATTCTCAATAGAGGAATACAAATGGATGAAACACTTAAGAAAGTGCTCAACATCCTTAGCCATTAGGGAAATGCAAATCAAAACAACTCTGAGATACCATCTTACTCCTGTCAGAATGACCTAAAAATAGAATTATCAACGAAGAATACTCCGTTGTGTAAATGTACCACATTTTCTTTATCTATTTTCAGTTGAGGAGGATCTAAGTTGTTTTCAAGTTCTGGCTTTTGCAAATAAAACTGCTATGAACATAGTTGAGTATATGTCCTTAGGTATGATTGACCGTCCTTTGATTATATGCCCAAGAATGATCTTTCTGGGTCTTGAGGTAGATTGATTCCCAGTTTTCTGAGAAACCACCTTATTGATTTCCAAAGTGGATGTACAAGGTTGCACTCCCATCAGCAGGGAAGGAGTTGAAAGGATTCAGGCATTATGCTGGCCTGTCTCTGTTACCTGGCAGAACTCATTCAGGCAGTACTCAGCTGAGCCCAGGGTTCCTGAGTACTAGTCTGCAAGCAGGTGCAAAGCACCCCTTTAAAAGACAGACCCCTGCCCACTTATACTCTCTTATCCTCTTCCTCTTGCTTTTTGCTCTCTCCTCTTGCCCCTCTCTTACCCCCCCTCTCTCTCTCTCTCTCTCTCTCTCTCTCTCTCTCTCTCTCTCTCTCTCATCTCTCTCCCCTTTCTCTCTGTTTGTCTCTGTCTCTCTCTTCTCCGCCTCTTGCTCTCCCCCTCCCACCCTTTAATAAACTCTATGGTTAATGTATCTCTCGTGTTCGTGTTCCATAGTGCACAACTTTAACTTAAACAAAAGAAAAACAGGAGTTGTTCTCCTTGCTTCACATCCTGGTCACCATAAGCTGTCATCAGTGTTTTTGGATCTTAGCCATTCTCAGGGGTGTAAGAGGAAACTCAGAGTTGTTTTGATTGGCATTTCCCTGAAGGCTATGGATGTTAAACATTTCTTCAGGTGTTTCTCTGCCATTTGAGATTCTTCTGTTGAGAATTCTCGGAGTAGATCTTTACCCCATTTTTTAAAATTGCATTATTTGTTTTTCTTTGATGTTATATTTTGGGGATCAGCTCTCTGTTGAATGTGGGGTTGACAAATTTTTTCCCATTATATGGGCTGCCATTTTGTTCTATTGACAGTCCTTTGCTTTTCAGAAGCTTTTTGGTTTCATGATGTCCCATTTATTAATTATTGGGCTTTGTGTCTGTGCTACCAGTGTTCTATTCTGGAAATTGTCTCCTGTGCCAATGCATTCCAGGATATTTCTCACTTTCTCTTCTATCAAATTCAGTGTAACTGGGTATATATTGATGTCTTTGATCTATTTGTACTGTGTGTGTGTATGTGTGTGTGTCTTAAGAGTTCCATTATGTAGCTCTGGTTGTTCTAGAGCTTGCTATATAGACCAGGTGCCGGGTTCAAATTCAGGAATCTGCTTGCCTCTGACTTCTGGATGTTTGAATTACTTTTTAGATTATACTAAAGACAAGAGCTACTTCTTTTCTTCCTCACTTCCTTTCTTTGTGGTATTATGGATAAAACTTAGCACCTCATACATGCTGAGTAAGCACTGTACTAAAGAGCTATGTAGCCAGCCTAGTCACATTTATCTAAGAACTAATTCGCCAGGCACGTGCCTGGAACACAGTCTCTCTGGAAATAAAGGCAGGAGAATTAGAAGGACTGCCTAGTTGTATAGCAAGAATCTGCCTCAAAATGCCAAGGGCTGGGAATGTAGCCCACTGGTAAACATGTACATGGCATGGAAAGGTGCTGACTTAGAGTTTCAGCACCATAGTGTTTTAGAAAATAATTGATTGCACTGCCTTGAACTCCTCCAAAGTTATTTTATTTCATTTACTTCTAAGTTTTTGGTAGTATGTCTACATATACTTTAGGCTTCAAAGTTGAAGGCATGAATTCACAGAAGCTTATGGGCCTATCTAATCTTCAACACAAAATTATTGCTTTGTTCATTTTTTACTAAAATATACCTCCCCAAATTAAAATATGCTCATATTTGCATTCTCTCCCACACAGATTTTTTTCTCTTTATGGAGATGAATGAAGTGCCTATAACCCGCTCTATCCTAAGTGTGAACTCCCAGCAGAAGTTCAAAGAAAAGAACAATATTAAGAATACATTTCATTCAAATGAATTGTCATTCAATGAGCAGAGACAAAAATACCAAAAACATAGTAAGAAGCACAAAAACACAGCAGAAGGCATCCTTGAGGAAGGTATGATACTGTATTTGATGATTATAGAGAGACTGTTGAAAATTAAGGTTAGAGCTGGGCGTTGGTGGCGCATGCCTTTAATCCCAGCACTCCGGAGGCAGAGGTAGGCAGATCTCTGTGAGTTCGAGGCCAGCCTGGTCTCCAGAGCGAGTTCCAAGACAGCCTCCAAAACAATACAGAGAAACTCTGTCTCAAAAAACCAAAAAAAAAAAAAAAAAAAGAAAAAAAGAAAATTAAGGTTAGGGTTAAGGTTTGTTAAGTACTAGGGAGTTACAAAAAATGACAGAAAGGCTTCTGTTTTTAAAGTCTAGTTAGAAACACACAAGTTAAAATGAAGTATCTGTTTAATCTAGACCACAAGAAAGACCAAATGTTCAATATCACAACCATTTAAAGACCAGTCTGGATAGTTTAGATGTTTCTCTGCTAAAGTAAGAGCTGTTTTAGCCACGAATGGAAAAATCAACTTTTGAGAAGTGAAAAAGGCTGGGATGAATTCCTGGCTACAGCATTTTAGGAATTAAAGTGTAATGTAACTTTAGCTATCTAGGGCACTGGGTTTTGAAATCTTGTTCTGGGCATTGAAAATTTGGTTGGGTAGTGGGTTTCTGGATATGTGCAGGGTGCTTTATTCTCATTATATCCTGAAACAAGCAACAGATGGATGCGCTTCCCTCAGATCTGGAACTCAAAACAAGCTCGATATCAGCAAATTTAAAATTAGTTTTTTGTTAAGATTTCACATAGCTATAGAATATACTTTATTTTTGGAATGTCCCTCTGGTTTCCTCAGCCTTGATTTTTCCAGACCTAAATATCTGGAAGATCCAAGCTTAGATGGCAGAAAGGAAGTTTAGGACTTTGCAGAAGCCAATTCACAGAGTCAAATAAGTAAAAAAAAATGTAAATAAATGTCTGTGCTTGAGTGGCTAAGTTTTGGGAACCAGAATGCCATCTTCATTCAGTCCTGTCTACTTTAAAGATAGGGGTATTCCCAGTGAAGGGTACTGTTAGATCAGAGAATATAGAAGGCAAATCTTTCCATAGGTATTTAGGTAGTCTGAAAACTAAGCCCTAATAAAAAGAAAAAAAACTGTTGCAACAAAGTATAAGCCTCTGACACTTGCATCTATAGAATGTTCACTTAGCATCTGTTGATCTTCATCGATGTCTCCTAAGGGGACATCACATCTAGTCAGTGTTGAGTATTGGGAATAGAATAATGGCAACAAAGCAAAGCAAAGCAAACAAACAAACAAACAAACAAAAATAGGTGCGAGAAGCTGACCAAGAGTATGAGGGCTACTGCATGTCACTGAAGACCAAGGTGAACGTGCAGTCTATTACGGATGGGAGTCAGCCTCAGGCCGTTTGCCTGCGGAGACAGGGTAGACTGCATTCAGCTGTGTTGGTGCTGACCAGGCAGATGTGGTGGGAGATGCTGGTAGTGGGGCCACCCCTCACTCTTAGATCCATTACTAAGGCCCATCCTTGCACTGCACACCTTGATATATATTCATTGGATTAGAGAAAAGAGTCAGGGCCGGGCGTTGGCGGCGCACGCCTTTAATCCCAGCATTTGGGAGGCAGAGGCAGGCGGATCTCTGTGAGTTTGAGGCCAGCCTGGTCTACAAAGTGAGTTCCAGGACAGCCTCCAAAGCCACAGAGAAACCCTGTCTCGAAAAAACCAAAAAAAAAAGAAAAAGAAAAAGAAAAAGAAAAGAGTCAGGAAATACGGAAGGGAAAAGGACTGATCAAACAATGTCTCTCTGACTTCCTAATTCACAATGCAGTTACCTTTACAGTGAAGAACTCAGAGCTGGACCAATCATTTCCCATTTAGGTTTCAAATTGTATTCATTTTTAGTTCCCCACACACAACCTCTTTAGGATAAAGAGGGTTATAGAGAGTAGGGTTTGGAGATCAATTATAGACATTACAGGCTCACTTATGCTAATTGATTATTTGAGCCATAAATGTCACCTTGAAAAAGCTTTTTACTTCAGTTTCTGCATCATAAAATTGTTAGTTATTCACTGATATTTTGGGTTTATTTTTTTCTTGCGGTATTTGTGCTTCCTGTATTGACTAATGAACTCTGTTTTAAATTAAGGACGTTTAAACTAGCTCCATGGAATATTTCAGACACATTAGTTTGTCATGTGACTTTAGTATGCAAATATATTTCTGTTGTTCAGGCATTTTTACTAACATGGCATTATTTGCTTTGAACCTTGGGTGTAAATATTTAACAGACTAGGTAGGAGAATCAGAGGTAAATGAGCATTATGATGCTCTGTTGAGGAGAGCATCCCAGAGTGATGCTGAGGAGAGCATCCCAGAGTGATGCAGAGGAAAGCAGCCCAGAGTGGTGCTGAGGAGAGCATCGCAGAGTGATGCTGAGGAGAGCATCCCAGAGTGATGCAGAGGAAAGCAGCCCAGAGTGGTGCTGAGGAGAGCATCCCAGAGTGATGCTGAGGAGAGCATCCCAGAGTGGTGCTGAGGAGAGCATCCCCGAGTGGTGCTGAGGAGAGCATCCCAGAGTGATGCTGAGGAGAGCAGCCCAGAGTGGTGCTGAGGAGAGCATCCCAGAGTGATGCTGAGGAGAGCATCCTAGAGTGATGCTGAGGAGAGCATCCCAGAGTGATGCAGAGGAGAGCATCCCAGAGTGATGCTGAGGAAAGCAGCCCATGGGTAAACCCTGTCTGTCTCATCCCCTCACTCCCTATGGCCAGTTGCTTTTGATCCCACTCTTTGATTTCTCTTTCTCAGACAATTTCTCACTTCCATGGAGGCTCATCTCTAGTGTGCTTGGTGTCACGTGCCTTCTCCTGATGGCTGTAGTCATAGCGATGACTATTTTCAGTACAAACTGTGAGTGTCCCTATTACATCTCCCTGCTCTCCTTTGGAGGAAGGCTTGCAGCAACTTGTCAAAATTCCTCTTTATTTACGGGCACAGCCAGAGTACCTGTCTGCCATGTGTGAGACACTGGGATCTGGAGTACCATCTCCAGGAAACAACAACAGCAACAACTAAAAACACCTTCCTTTTAAACATTTTCTATAAAATTGTGTATTGCTATTCTAGAACAGAGACTTTTATTAATTCTGCTGATATGTCACTATAAAAGAAAGAACTAATTATGATGTGGATTATTTTTTGTAGTATCTCCTGAAAGAACATGTCCCATGATCCAGCAAAAAGGTAGGTGTTGGTTTCTTAGTCTTTGTGCACAGATTCAATCAGGAAAACACATTTACTGTTTGTATCAACTCCATGAATAGCAAACAGAATCTTTATAAACAAGACACTTCGGCAAAACTAAGAAAAGATATGACATGGTCCCAGAAATTTACATTAATGTGGGACAGAGGTTTGTATAACAAATGGCAAGAATACAGAAATATTGTTGGTGTCTGTGTGCAGCATAAGCAATCTTGCAAGAATCCATGGTTTTGTATGGGAAATGAACAAATGTGACAATAAATTTTGGATGAGCAATTTTTCAACAGAGAAAGAGAATTCAACGATGATGTAAAGGGGTGTTTCCACTCCAAGTGCCATAGACATAGGAAAACTAACAGTTAAGCAGTGAGGACGGATAGGTCTCAGCACCTGTATGTTTTCTGAAATAGAAAAGGTCCAAAAGTTCAAATAAAAATAAAGCCCAAAGTATGTTTCCATTCGTAGTTTTATCATAACTATTTTAGTTGTCTTTATAGAACATTGATACAGTGTTTTACATGTACAGTTCTTTGCTTTAAACAAGTGGATGGCATCAGAGTCTGAATCTCCAGTAGAGTGACAGACATTCCTTCCCTAGGACCTCATCATCCCTGCCCAGAGAACTGGGTCTGGTTCAGATGCAGCTGTTATTACTTCTCCAAGGAAGCCCTAAGTTGGAGAGACAGTCAGCAAGCCTGCTTGTCTCTCAATTCCAGTCTCATAAGGATAAGCAAAAAGGAGATGGTAAGTTGCTGCAAATGTGAGTCACAAGGCACAGGGACTCCAAAGGAATTGACAGCGTTAAGCTGACCGCCACTTACACTTGTGTACGTTTAGTGCTGGATCAGTGGCTGCAGGATGAAACAGTTCTATCTTTGGTTTCAGTTTTTATGTGCAAAATATAGGGTAGGCCTATGTATTGTATGAAAAAGACAGAAAGAGTAAAACAATATTTGGAATTTCATTCATGAATGAAGTTGGGTCTGGTGGCACAGGCCTGCAATCCCATTTCCTTTGGATTCAAGGCTACAGAGTGAGTTGAAGGGAAGCCTGGACAACTTAACAAGGATCCCCCCTCTTTCTCTCTCTCACTCAACAAAGAGTATGGGGGTTGAATAATGTAGCTTAATGGTAAAACATTTGTTATACACATGGGGCCTAAACTTCAATCATCAGTACCACTGATATATATATATATATATGTATATATATGTATGTATATATATATAGTGTATGTATTGAATTCAAAGAGAAACACTTGCTTTTAGTAATAGCACAGAGACAGAAAAAGCAAACTAACTCTGCATAGTCTGGCATGAAGATGGCACAGGTATGTTGGCCTAGAATACCAAGTGACAACATGAAGGAAATTTTTCTAATTCCAGAAATTATGCTGGAATCAAGTTAAAGTGTCTACTGTGTGTGCTTCCTCAATGGAGAGTCTTTTTATTGCAGACACGAAGGTACCAGAGTAAAGTCAGTCTCCAAGAAACCTGTAAAGACCCTTTAAAAATACCCTCATATTTTTCATGTCAAACCAAAACTACCCATTTCCTCACTTGTTTTTTATTTTAATTAACTTAACTCAGTTATTTGTTTATTTTGCAAATCTCCCATGAGAGGAGAAAATTTTTACTTTTCATTGTCTTATAACACAGCATTGTCTGGTGTGACTGTGGAAGTCAGACACAGAATAAATATATGTCCACAGAGCTGATGAAAAGACCATGATGGGAACCCTGTGAGCTTGTGCTTTCTTGCTTTCAGGATATTTTCAGGTTGAAGACTTTCTTTTGGGTTGGAGTTTACTATAATGAAGCCAGCAGACAGTGGCTGTGGGAAAACCATTCGGTTCTTCCCTCTGAGATGTAAGTATCCACATGGCATCAGGCATTTAGTTATGGTGTGAATGAAGGGTTCTGGGCACAGTTTCAGCACCTTTAGAGAACTGAGGAGACATCCCATGTGCAGAAGAAACATGCAATACTTTATCCCTTTATCTATTTTCCTCTGAAAACTTTCTTCAAATTTCCTTAATAAACTGAAAGAAACCGTGTGGCATAAATGAACAGGCTTTCATTTTCTTTTTATGGTTTCCCAGCTAGAAGTCCAAGCCTAAGATGTCAACAGGCATACCTTCCAAAGCCCTCCTCAGCTTAGTTCTAGCCCACTTCCCTCCGTCCTTTCACTAATTCCTCTTCTGAAGATGCCACCTACACTAGGGCTCACCCTAATGACCTCCTTTTAATTGACGTATTTCTCAAGGACCCCACCTCTAGACAGATTCTGCACACGGGTGGTAAGGATTCGGGGCAGCATAATAAGCACTCTCTCTTCTTGCTCCCTGAGCTCCAAGTTTCTCTCATTTGCAAAAGTATTCCCATACTGTTCCAAAAGCACCAAAGAGAAAACTGTCCCAGAACCAATTTTCAGTCATTAGAGATCTGACTCGCCCCAACGCAAACCTCCTCTGCAGCATGAATCTGTAGATCTAAACATAATTTGTCTATGAGATTTGAAAGTGGGACAGACATGTGGTAGATTTCCCTCATTCTGGACAGGAGCAGAAACAAATGCCTATTGAAACCCAAGCAAACTAGAAACTTTTGGGGAAGCAAAGCTCATCGTTTTGTCTTGTTTCAGTTTACTTTAGCAGCCATTTTTGCTCTCTACTTAACTTTTTTTTCTCTACTTAACATTTAAAACTCTACAAGAACTGAGTAATAAAACAAAACCAATACCGAACAGTGTTTATAGTCCTCTGCTCACCCATCACTTCATAAAAGATACCAGCAGGGGGCGATGTTCCTAGAGCTGACCCTGAATACAGTCCCCAGGCAGATGAACCTTATCCTCACACACTTGTCTTGACATCCTCTTTCCCGATTTGGATCGCCCAACTCTCTGATCAGTCTCAGTAGTCTCTTTCACTTCCCCTCCTCGTTAGGAAGGAGCTTTTCCAGTAGTTTACCAGAAGAGAGACAAACGTCCAGGAAATGACACCCTTAGCTGGATGATCAGGCAGCTCCTTCTATCTGGCTGGAGAAAAGTTGGCACTCCTTCATTTAGCACAAAATCCTTTCGCTCTAAGTTTCAAGAATAGTCCCCCCTTAGTTCAGCGTTCTGTCCCCTGGTCCATCAGACCAATGACTCCACTCGTAAGATTAATGTAGTCTGCAATGTATCATCACTGTTTTCCCAGTCACCATGAGACTAAACACTGTGGTGCTTAAATGTATATTCATGCCACTGGAAACTTAATTAGGTGAGTTATCCACAGCTTGTTTTGCTCTGTTTTTTTTTTTATTGCGATGTCATGGATCCAGTGCAGAACCTTAATCTTGCCAGCATCATGCTCCCCCACTGAGAGACACTTCTCAGCCCTGCTCCCAGTCTCGTTATTTTTTAATTTCCCTTTCTCCCCTGACAACCTATTGACATCCCTTCCCCACAGACACTTTCTTCCTAGTGGAAGTATTAATTAATACTTACATTTCCATACTGATTTGATAACTTTGCAGTTTACTAACATTTTATCAGTATGAATTATGGGTAATGGAAATCACAAAGTTGGGTTTTTAAATTTTGTATGTAGGCTAAACAGTTCTGCAGTATCGTGTGGATTTTGAATGCCATGTAATTTCTTGGTAACAGTAGAATTTCTTTCATTTTAGGTTTTGGGGTCTTGAAACCAATAAGCAAGACTACTGTGTATCTTATAAATCAAAAGGAACTTATTTTGCAGAAAAATGTACAACTGAACTGGGATATATTTGCAAGAAATACAATATCTAATCCCATGAAGTCACACAAGACATGAAAATTAAATATCTCTTCTCAAACTTTTTGGGTGCTTATTTTCTGAAGAAAACATTGCAAATGTTTGTCTTTGCTTAAATAAAATTATATTCAAATACATTCCAGTGTCATTCTCTGTCAATGTTTATGCTAACCTATTTATTGCATATTGCACACATTTTAGAAGACATGTAATAAACGGTTTCTGAATGAAACAATGAGATAAAGCTGATGAGTTCAAGTTAAACCACTGGACACTTAAGAGCTTGATCTATGTACGGTAACACTCTTGTCTCTGCTTAGCATACTTGTGTGCATGTGTGGGTGTGCATATGTACACATGTGTGCATGTATGTGTATGTGGACATGCCACAAAATGTTAAAATGTATTGTTAACTGAAAACAGATAGTATATTTAAAAAACGACTCATCTGACCACATAAGAACCAGAATTATTTAAAAAATTTTGGAATTATTTATCAGCTTGAATTTAATATGCTGTTCAACTCACCTACTGTCTAATCGCCCAACAATATGCTGTCCAACTCTTTCTACTATTTAATCCCCCATACAACTAACGAGGGACAAAAGCTTAAGTCAGGTTTCCATGTAAAGTAGTTTAATTTACAAACTGAAATAGCCACTTTGCTCTCTATCTCACTATCACAAATGTATCCATCCCTCCATTGATCAACTGACGCATCTTAAAATTTGCGGATTTCAGAATAATTTCTCTATGTCAACACAATTGCCTCATAGTCTTATGACACACTTATCAATGGCTAGTTTAATAATCTGTTTACAATTCTTTCCTTGAAGTAGTATTTATATAACATAAATTCACAAATCTTAGCATAGTACTCAATGAATCTAGGAACTACTAGTCAAACACATAGCTTTATGATACACTAGGAAGTTTCATAACCCATTTCAGCAAATTTGTACCACTTCCCAGAGGAAACTGATATTCTATTTCTTTTCTAAGCCGTTCCTTTTGTTTGTTAAAAATGATAAGCATAGCATATACTTGCCTATATGAGACATGTTCACTTAGTGTGCTATTTTGAGACTTGAGACTTATTGTTGATAATGTGTGTGTTATAACCATTTAGGCAAAGAATGATATCAAGTTGTTTTGTTTTCCTAAGCTGGTCCATGTTTTATTTTCTGTGTCTTGATAGGCCATGGCAGTTCTACCTCTAAGTCAGTATTTTTAAACATGATATGTTCATCTCTTGCCTATGAAAAATCTGAAACTTAAAACAGCTTTTACCTCCCAAATTTAAATAACTTCACATTTATAGTTACACAATATAGTTTACTAAAATTGAGTTCTACTTCCTTAAAGAGATGGCGAGGGAATACTTTGTATAAAAGAGCAATTGTGGTGTATTTTAGCTTGATTTTACTTTATTTCCTGACTTTGTTAGCAAAGCTGTACCTTGATTAGGATATATGACTTCTATATTGAAAACACACTGGTTTAACCACCACACCACAAAACATTTCAGTGTACTCATGATATAGGCAATTATTGTCAATTAGTAATAAAATAATGAGATACTATAGTGTTAAAAACTAGAAACAAAGTTTCTACTTGAAAAATAAATTCTTAATCTATGATTGCATTCATGCTAGACTATCAGAGTGGCATAGCCACATGGGTGACTGGTAAACATGGGTTCATAATAGACTACAATTCCAAGTTCACATTTTATTAGTCTTTGCCAGGTGTCAGCTTTCTTTTCATCTGACTTGAACAACTTTTCCCTGTTTTGAACTTTTCCTGTTTCAATACTGGTGACAGACTTTGCTGCCCTCGAGTTCTGTGTTTCCACATTTGTTTTTAAATCAGTGGCAACATGACAAATTTCATCAGAACATTAAACTCTTTTTTTAAGCCACATTTGACTTATTTCTGATGTGAGGAACTATGAAAAGCATCGTATAGCTGTGCATGGAATTCTTTCAAATTCTTCTCCAGCCTTTGCCTATTCATTATCTCTGAGTCCTCTAGAGGAAGACAGTTAAAGGATCCCAGGAAACAGCGAGTGGTAATTACAGTCCACTCAATGTTTCATGTTCATTGGGTTATCTTTGTGGTTGACACTTTTTTACCTTGCTTGTCATAGGCTCGAATTTAATGCTGCTTCCTGTGGCCATGCTTTGCTAGAACCACACCAGTGTTGCAGTTAGAGCGATAATGATCAACCACAGCTACACTTGCAAAGCTGGCTTGCGCCCCCTTCCTTCTTACCTCCTGCGTCTTCTGCTATGTGGTCAGTGGAAACGCTTCAATTCCAAAACCTTTTGCAATAGCCTCCTATTTTTAGCATTCCCCCTGTCAATCACCCTCTATTTCTCCCCTAGACCACATGGTCATATCAAGGCTCACGTAAGCAAGAGCTAGTACTTCAGGTGATGGTATCTCTGTGGATGGTGATTCTCAGCCGTGTACAGTGACATATGTCAGGGATGGTTTTTATGTTCATGGAATATAACTGAGCTGTTGACTGAAGCCAGATCCAAACAGTGCCTGGGCTCATCTCACAATTCAGAGAGGTCCCTTAAAAGGCTTTCTCCAGACCTGGAGAGATGGCTCAATTGTTAAGAGTGCTTGCTGCTCTTCTAGTGGACCCAAGCACAATTCCTAACACACAAATCTGGTGGCCCACAATGGCTATAGTCCCAGCCCCAGGGGAGTGTGACACCTTCAACCTTCACAAACAACTGTTTGCATGTATATATGCCCCCCTACACACAAAGTTTTCAAAAAATAATAAAATTAAATCCTTTTTAAAGAGTTAGTCTCCAAACTCTTTGCAGCCAATGATCAATGGCCATGTCTTGAATCCCAGGCATGTCAGCTCATGTCTGTAATCTCAGCACTTGGGAGGTGGAGGCAGGAGAATTACCTCAATTTCATGCTTCTCTGAACTTCATAGTGAGCTTCAGGAAAGCCAGATGAATAGTGAAAAAAGGAAAGAAACATGTATACTCACTCCTCAAGTGAAAACTTAGTGTCCAAGGGCTATATGCTGAGTCCTTTAGATGGCCTTACTGATTCTTAGTCTTCTGTCTGGGGATTGGCGCACCTTTTGCTCATAGGGAATCTTTTTACTTGTGACATTCCCTCTTCTTTTTGTTCAGGTTTCATTAGCAGACAGTTACCAAGATATTAAAAAGGTAGGTATCTGTGCTGAAAGGACAAGAAAAAGAATCACTGCTATCTCACTGATAATCTATGGAAGTGCTTGAGCTTTGGATGTCAAGAGCTGACGAATCAACAAACCTTGCTGTGCTATTTCAGAATAATGACCCAAAGTCCCACCCAGACTCACCACAGTTAAACTATTTTCAGCTACCCAGGAGATGAAGAACTATAGCTTCAACTCTCTCAGGAAGTCCTCTGTAGTTTACTAATATTTAGAAAAGGTATACATTAGGGACTGAAATTACAAAACAAGTTGTATACACCTTTCTATTTTGGCTTTGTAAACATCCTTATACTCTAAACAACCAAGAAGAAATGTGAACTTTTTTTTTTGTTTAAAACACGTTATCATTAGGTCGTATTCATCTGGACCCTTCCATGAAGACATTACTCTTGTGTAAAATAGTCACCTAAGCAGGGTCTGGTGCTCAGAAGGAACTTCATAGCCCACACTTGCATGCTGTCACTTCTCATCCAGGGTGAGTAAACGATGACTGAACCATGTGTAGGTTGCCGCTTTGATTTTCTTCTTAGTTCGCTGTGAGAAGTGTGTCTCTTGGTATTTTTAAATCAGTATGAATATAGAAACATGGTAGTATACTGTGTAATGTCTCTGGCAAATAACCATGACTAAATCTGCAAACTGGCTTGAAAATGTGAAATGATACTTTTGCATTTGTTTAAAAAAGACAGCTTCCAAAGTATAACTTCAAAATTACTAGACAGCATACCAGAGGTCAAGTGAAATATGGTGTTAAATTAGAATGGCAATAATTTCTACTCTGCCGAATACTCATCTGGATGGGAAGTACTAGGTCACTGTTAAGGACCTTGAAGAAGTCAAGAGAAAGCTCATAAAAGAACATCTTAGTAAATTCTTACAAATGGTCTATGGCAGGGCTTAATGACAAAAAGGAACTTGAATGCTTAATTAAAATGACATCAGAATCTTAAACTCCAAGAAGAATGTTCAGAGATAGGAGGAATTCCTCTTTGCTGGGTATATTTGTGTGATTTTGTTTACATAAAGATACTATTCTCCATAAATTAAAGAGTGGAATGTCAAAATGCTTCATTGAAATGCATACACTCACATACAAAATTCATATGCACATATGTAGACAAATCTACACATGAACATGTATATTCAAATGAGACATAAAAGTCAAACACTAAAATTGGCATATAATGTATTAAATTCTTCCCCATTGAAACAAAAAATTTACACAAAATTGGCAAACATTGGTAAAATTTTTTGTTTATCCTCCTTTTCCATAAAAGTCATACTTCAGATTAGCAAAATATTTAGTAATAACTATTTTCTATAATACAAAAACCATTATATGGTCATGATTAAAAATGTATGTATTATTGAACTATGCACACCTATCCACACAAGGCACTGGATGCTTATGCAACTGGCAAAATCTGGGTAAATTCTATGGATTTCACCAGTGTCAGCTTCCTGGTTTTCACTTGCAGCTAGCTATGTAAGATATCAACACTGGGGAAAATGAAGTCCATAGTACAAATGAATTCCCTATACTACTATTGGTGGTCTCTGGTAAAACAAAACAAAACAAAAAAACAGAAGCTAACAATATTTATAGTCTTTTATATTTTTTTATTTAAATTAAAAACAATCTTATTTTACATACCATTCCCAGTTCCCTCCCATGACCCATACCAATCCCCCATCCCACTCCCCCCAGTCTACTCCTCAGGGAGGATGAGGACTCCCATGGGGGATCATCAAAGTCTGACACATCATTGGGGCAGGACCTAGCCCTCATGTATCTAGGCTGAGTGAGTATCCCTCCATAGGAAATGGGCTCCCAAAGCCCATTCATGCACTAGGGATAAATACTGGTTCCACTGCCAGAGGCACCATAGACTGCCTAGGTCCCCCAACTGACACCCACATGCAGGGGACCTGGTTTGGTCTTATGCTGGTTCCCCAGTTCCCTTGCTAAGGTCACCTGTTTCTGTGGGTTTCCCTTGCATGGTTCTAACCCCTTTGTTCATTACTCCTTCCTCTCTGCAGTTGGATTCCAAGAGTTTGACTCAGCGCTTTGCAGTGAATCTCTGCTTCTGCTTCCATTAGCTACTGGATGAAGGCTCTAGGATAGCATTTAAGGTAGTCATATATCTCATTATATGGGAAGCACATTTAAGGTAGCCCCCCATTAAATATTTTATATGTCTTTTTAAGCAGATCTCTGACAAGTTTGAGGACCATTATCTACTAAGTATAACTGCACATCACTCCCCCCTCTCCATAACTGGATTACAGGATTTTGGCTCAGTGTTTAGCTGTGAATCTCTGCTTCTTCTTGGTATAAACGCGAGCTAACACCATTTTCCCATCCTTCCTTTTTCATACCCTCTGTTGGCTCTCTTCTTAAAGTTCAGTTCTATTATATTGATTAATAACAGATTTAGCCCACATCAGAAATGGTAGATATATTATTTTCAATAAAAGTTCATGGGAGTCATTCTTAATCCAAGTTTCAGTTTTTACGAACACTACACACATCACACTCACATGTGCATCCCCTGTTGTCGTCTTTCCCCAATGATTATACTTTAGAGTGAACTTTCTCATGCAGATTAGCAAAAGCCTCATGCAGAAAAGTCAATCCTAACTCTGTCTACATTTTCCTGCCTTAAAGCCAATGTTGCTTAGCTGTATCAGATTCTGAGATATGTCAATAAAGGTCAGCCTGGTGGTAAGTAGTCATCACTATGGATTGTCGTGAATGGGAACACCAAGGTTTTGAGCAGTTCTAAGAGAAACAAAAAGACCATATATACAGGGGTTCAGACAGCATTTGACCAGAGTTTATCAAATATCCGAGTGAGATAATTCGGGCAAATAAACTCTGTTTTGAGTGGAGATGAGTTGGAGGGACCCCATTGTGTGAAAACAATTTGGTTATCTGTGTACACAAAGGGAACAGATTCAAGTAGAGTTGGTGGTTTAGAAAGAATGAAAGGGAAGGGTAAAAATGTGTGTCCAGGGAGAGAGGGGAGGAAGGAGGGAGGGAGACAGAGAGAGGTGGGGGTAGGGGGAGCACAATAGTAGTGGATGTTGTTTTCATTGTGCCTGAGTTTTGCCTGCTGTGGTTGGGTGACTACATCATGTATCAGAACCACAGAGGGAGACGTGGATATTCCAATTAGTCTGCACTAAAGGAGAGAAATGCCAGTGTAGGATGTGCAAGTACAGGTAGGTGATTGACTTGAAATATATTCCTTGTACATCAAGTTAAAGTAGCCCTAGGCAAGTTAACACTATTTATTTGCCTTAGTTTCCTCATTATCAAATTTGGTATCTTCTTTATTAAGCCATCAAAAGCAAATATTTTGACACAATGTGAGCTTTAAAGTATTTGTTTTAGTAAAGGTATAAATTCTGTGTGGGATTTTATAATAATAAAGGAATTTATCATTGATTTGTACATCTTGCCCCTATGTTCTAACAGATTTTAGAGACAGCTTTTGGTGTTCACACATTGAAAACAAGCTCTCTCCCATCTCCTTCTGCTCTACTGTTTTGTGTCAAAGTTTCAGAGAGAATTTCCTGTGCTGTGGTTCCAGGGTCATGTTAGAAGCTTGCGGCCTTATTTCTGCTCACTCCTACTGTGCATTGGTGTACCACCAGCAGACGATTCAAGAGCATCACTGTAACAAACAATGTCCCTGTCTCTTCTAATGCTTATTGTCTCCTCCTTAGCTTCCTGCCCAGCTCTGGGATCCACATCATTCTTAAGCATAAACACATCTCTAAATCACTCTTGGAACATCACTTCTCATGGCAGGTACGTGTGGCTCATCACAGCAATGATAAAATAATAACCAGACACGATGTCTCAGGGGTTAAGTAATTTCAGGGCCGGCTATAATACAAGTAAAACAGAAAGTACATAATCAGCTTGGATGGTTTAGACTTTCCATGCTTTAACACTTTCTGCATTCATTGTTTTCTTGATTCTACATTTTGAAACTTGAACATGATTTTATGAAGTTAAACCTCTTGTAAACCTTTTCTAACTGAGTTAGAGAATGGTTTTTGATAAATTCAGAATGAAACTGAAACTAAACTGATTAACTGATCAGCACCATATTTCTAGCATGGAAATAGAGAATGGCAGATATTAAGGACACAACACTTTATAAATAAATTTGCTGTCTGTGTTGTGGCCTTTTCACTGCTGCTTTGTACTGTTGTTGGTGGCAGCACTATTTTTTTGACAATATTCTAATGTTAAGAGAGAATCAACTACTATTTCAGCCAATAAGCAAGTGACTTTTGCATTTAAGCCATGATAATGTTGAGCAAACAGAAAGTCAAAGGTTACCTTTGTGTCATAATTCAAAATGCTGTGAACTGAATCAGATCCTGAACCCATACATCAGTGTGGAACCCCACCACACCAAGTCTAGAAGGCTCTGCTCTGTTTTCCTGCAGACCTCTACTAGCTACTAGTCTGAGCATGGTCTGCATTCAGACCTGTAAAGAAAACCTTTCATGATGGTATTCTCCTGAAAAAAAAAAAAAAAGGAATGTGACAAATGGCAGACTCTGGATCTTGACACTGCTCTTTTAGATTTCTGTTAGGCACTCACTTTTTTTTTAAGCTGTAAGAAAATAACATTGTGATTAATCTTTCATTTTTATCATTTCTCTAATGCAGAATTTTTTTATCCATGATATTCTTGAAAGGAAAAAAATGTCTATTTAACAAGCCACTGTGAACCACAGATACATGCTGATCTATTCTTACAGTAGAGATAAATTTCACTGCTGATTTAGAGAGGACAAATCGGTGGTAAAGGGTTCTAATGAGGCATAAAATATGTATGAATGACCTCATCAAAGAATAAGGCACACCACATCAAAAGATTGTTGTTGGGTGGAGGTCTCCAGTAATGTTCTCATTCCCCAGTATTTCACTGGAGAGACAGCTGTGCCATCCCAGGAAGGATTTGGGTTCCTTCTCTTATTAAGAACTTCATCTTCTGTGTTCACATTTTAACCTGTTAGTCATTAATTTATGTGTTTGGTATTTTTCTATAGTTTCTAGGATCGCTCTGTGGAGGTTGATGTCTGTGATCTTTGGAATAAAGTGTGTTTTGCTGATGATTACTTTGGGATTTTTGATGAAAAACTGTAAGTGTTTCTAAGCAAATCTATAGAAAAAATCAACATCATGATGAACTAATTTAATAATGAGTATTTAATTTTTCTAATGTACAATATTTTATTTAACAAATATATGTCAAACTAAGCAAATATCTACTTATGTCTTGTAGCATTTACAATACAGAGTATTCAACAAGTAACTTCTCCAGCTTCCATTGTAGAATTCCAGGAAGGTAAGTTCTGCTTTTTTTCACAAACTTTGATTGATAGAGAACAAGACAGAGAAGTTCGCTTTCATGTGCAGTAGCATGGTTGCACTTAGTAAGAGTCTCACTGTATTGTGCTATAGTATAAGGAAAATAAAATTACACTGAATTGTGTGTGTTAGGCTACATAAGAAGTACTTTAAGTAAGAAGATCTTCACTTTTTCCTCGTAGTTGTAGAAATTTTGGTATGCGGTTGGCTGGGCTCGCCAGTCTTGTACCTGTGCCAAGACAATGCGTCACAGTGGAAGCATGTCTGGGTGCATAGCTTTTCATGTCATGGCTAGAAACCAAAGAGAGGAAGAAGATGAGTAGGAATGTTTCTGCTCTCCATTTGAAAGCCTGCCCCAGTACCCTGAAAAAGAACCATTACATTCTACATCTAAAGGGTTGCGTGACTGCCTCATTGTACCAAGCTGGGTGCCAATTTTCTCATGTAAGGGCTTTTGAGAAGACTACAGGTACAAAATCTAGCAAAACACCATCACAAATTTAAGGAAAAGGTAAGATGCCAGCCTGAAATTGCAGAAACATATTTCTTAAGGAGTGTTCATGAAGCCAGTAGTTGGTGGCCATGCCTTTAATCCCAGCACTTGGGAGGCCAGGCAGGCAGATCTCTATGAGTTCGAGGCCAACCTACCTGGTCTACAGAGTGAGTGCCAGGATATGCTCCAAAGCTACACAGAGAAACCCAGTCTCAAAAAACAAACAAAAAAGAGTGTTCATGAATAATTAATAAACAAAATTAAATGGCAATAAGCATTATAGACAAATCTTATTTTGTATTTTTCCAATAATCTATGCTTTCATATTCTTTCCTTTTAACTTTTTTGATTCATAATACAGTGCAGACATCTTTGTAATTATAAACCTTACTTACCCTCAAGAGATAGTCCAAAACTCTATTTTAATATTATTTCTCAAATGCTCCTCAAGTTAATAACCTCCCGATAATGTAGTTAATTTTATCTTATTTCAACTTAGTGTTATTTGTGTGATGAAGATTTGAGTGCCTACTATGAATTTCAATGCTTATTACTAAGGAAGAGAGATGCTGACACACTATTACCCATAAACTGTCCATCAATCTTGAAATTATTTAGTTTATTTATCCTCAATTTTTAACACATAAGAATTTAAGAATTCTTTCAAAGTATTGTATGCTTCTCTGACTTAGGTAATTGGTAGGGGCCCTCCCTGTAAGTACATTTCATCTAATTAGTCTTATTCACTATAAACCTTAGCTGTGGGTACATCCTCAAAGTCATTCTTCTGACTGCCACTCTCTCCTGTTTGCTGCCACATGCTTGATTTCCATTTCCTTCTCATCTAATTATCATTAAAAATAACAAAGGACAGAAAATGATTTCATTTTGAATCCCTCTCTATTTAGAATATCCTCTCCATGGAGCAAAGTGTTTGGACTAACAGTCCAGAAATGTATATAGCATATTCTGAAGGAGTATTTGTAGAAAAAAATGAACAATTAGCAAATACTTTTGGAAGGTCAAGTAGCATCAAAGAAGCTGAAATCTCTAATGATGTGCTTCATCTTTTAGTTTCTGAATGCTGTCATTGCCTAGAAAAGTGGATTGGTTATCAATGTAACTGTTACTTCATTTCCAAAGAAGAAAAATCTTGGGAAGAAAGCAGAGATTTCTGTGCCTCTAAGAATTCCAGTCTTCTTCATTTTGAAACCAGAAATGAAATGGCATGTATTTCATTCTTGTTTCTTACATTCTTCCTCAACTAGGGACATGTGCTCTGCAACTAAGCTGACCACACTCATACAGGTCTTTGTTACCAGGTAGACCATGGTGGTTGCTTAGATCCTCAGTTTGCTGTACTTTGAAATATTCTTAAAAAGTCTACACAAATTCTTCAAGTATTTGTAGTGTAAAGGTAAATTTTTGAGTACATTAGGAGCTAATGTGCAATCCCTTTAACTTTTCTAGAATTAGTAGGCACCTTTTTTAACTATACCAAAAGAACCAACAGAGAGACTCTTATTATTATTTACTGGAGCTGAATACATAATCTCTTGCATGTGTCATATGGCTTTTTGCAATTTTTCCAGAATGTAATGTAGAACCAGCAGTGGATCATATGAATATAACAACTCTTGGATTATGGTTGTTGTTATTGAGTATTTCATATGGTAGTGTACCTAGGAGCTGACACATGTAAAGCAAACACTCTACTTCTATGTTATATTCTCAAACATCTTTTAAAAAGATTTTTTACTAGCCAGGCAGTGGTGGCACACACCTTTAATCAGCTAGTTCCAGGAAAGCCTCCAAAGCCACAGAGAAAAATCCAACAAAAAGTCTTTTACTATGTGTTTTGAGACAGAGGGAAGTATCTGAGGCTTACCTTTGAACTCTCTGTGTAGCCCAGTGAAGTGAAACTCTGCTTCATTCTCCTGATCACCAGGGATTACAGGCTTGAGCCACCAGGCTCATTTTGGAAATCACTCAATTCTTATGAAGAAATTCTCAAGCTGTCCATGTTCTGCTCAGGTTGAAGGGGTATAAAATGTTGTCATTGGGGTCATGTTTGATCATTGATCACATGAAAGAGATCAATGTATGATGGAATCTCATTTTCTTTATGACAACTTTCACCTTTCAAGAAGCAAGATTTTGTAGTGTTTTCCCACATGAATCAATGTAGTCTGGTAAATGAGAAATCTAAAACATGTAACTATGCCTCCCAGATCAGAACTTCAAAAAGAATTCAACTTGAGAACCCACAATCTGAATCTGAATGCCTTTTAAAATGTAAGTTGATCTCAGAGTACATTCAGATTTAGTTATCTTGTTCTTTCGGCCTCTACGCAGAGTTTTATGAGCTCCAGTCAAACCTTTTTCTGGATTGGAATGCATTATAGTGAGGAACAGCATGCCTGGCTGTGGGAGGATGGCTCAGCCCCCTCAAAAGATCTGTAAGTGTCTGGATATTGAGGCTATTGAGGATGTTTTTTGTGGGGAGGCATACTTCTTATGAATTTATCCTAGCTGTTTCTACTGAAAAATCATTGTCAGAGACTGAGAAGTTCAAATATCTTGGGTAGAGCATGAGAATATATAAAGTCCCAAAGGGCAAACATGATTGTTCCACTCATAACATTCAAGCTCATGTTCAAGTAACATCAAGTTGTGTGCCTGAGACCATGAGAAAATTGTCTTTACTCTTTTCCTTACTGTAAGACATGTCTATTCAGGCTCAGGTACAGGCATGCCCAGAGAACAAAGCAGGGTCATTTTTGTTGTTCTAATGGATTTCACTATTTTTATCATCTTCAAATATTCAGCAATTATTTTGTGAATAAATATTGTTCTTGGATTGCATTCTCATTCATAAGCATGAAATCTAGAGAGTCAAACAGTGACAAAATTTATGCTCTTTCCCCCTAGCTAGGGTCAACTCCTAGATTTTCTTTTGTACAGTGCAATCTGATTGCAGTTTTCCTTCCCTCAACTCCTCCAAGATCCTAGATCCATATCCCCTTCATAAAATTCTATACAAACAATACGTAAGGGCAGGCCCCATGTCTAGCAGTAGTTGACCAACACAAAACAACCCAAAATGAACTCAGTGGTAGAGAGTTTTTGTTTCTTTTATAACACTTTGTCAGGGTACTTTTTTCTAACCTTTCAGATATTTTCTTCATGTGTTATGTTTTCTAACTTTGTTTTTTATGGGTTTTCTGAGTGTGTGCTTATGTATATGTCTCATTTTCCATATATGTTTCTTGTGCTTTTCTTTGCTTCTTTTTTTCCCCAACTCATACATTGTAACCAAATAGAACATAACATCAAAAACATTTCTGGCCAGACATCTTGGTACACACCTTTAATTCCAACTAGACAGACAGGCAGGTAGATGTTTGAGTTCAAGACTGGCCTGGTCTGAGTTCCAGGTCAGCCAAAGCTGCATACTGAGACCTTGTCTCAAAAGACAAAAGATACAAATCAGTTATTTCTGACAGTACTGAAGAGTCAACAAAGAAACAAATAACAAAACCATACCTAGAATCTATTCTCTGGTCTTAGTGATAGTGGCCAGGGAGGAAGTAACTGAGTTTTACACAGTGTTGTATTTCAAACTGTGAAAGTTTGCGGAAAGGCAATCAAACAAGACCAAATAAACAAAACCCCAAATTGCTCGGTTTGTAAGTATCTCACTCAAATGTTACCAAAACATTTAAAGTTAATAAAAATAATGTTAAACATCCTTACTGTTTTTAATTGTTAATATTTTCTTCTTCATTGCAGATTTCCAGAGTACTCATATACCAAAACAAGCGGCTGTGTTACTTATAGTCCAAGCCTATATATTTCTGCTGATTCCTGTGAAAGTAAAAACAAATTTATCTGTAAGCAATTGAGTATTTAAATACTTCTTAAGGCAAAGAGTATAGACAAGAGAGGGCTAGGATTATTTCAACAGTACTTACCTCTCACAGTATTGCTGCCTTTCCATGTTGAGTTGGCAGACTGTTTCTGTGTGCTATCATTTTCATACATTTGAACCCTAGTATTTTATGCTTGATTAATTTTTCACATCTGTTCATAAAGTTTGGATGCATCATGGTAGAGAGTTTTTATAAATATTTTGATTTAATGAATGTTTGATATGAAATATAATTTTATTTACATACTCTTGTAAAGTCTTCTTAGAAACATTAAATAAAATTTACTCTAGACCAAATCATATGTATCCATGTAGTTTCAGTGTTTGTATCAGAACTAAATTGAACCTGGATCTGAGTCTGAGAGGTGTAATCACTTCATGACAGTAATTCTGTTTCTGAGAATTACAGAGTATAGTTACCCATGCTTCTTATACCTAATGATGTTAGTCAGGTTCTATATGCCCTTAGAGATGTACCAAACTTAGATATTTAATCATCAAACACTTCAAAGACCTACAAATTATGGCATTTAAATGTTTTAATAATTTAGAACTCCATTGGCATGAGACACAATTGCTCCTGACAGTACCAAGCTATTTCTGCGAGTACGATGGGCACTGATGACACTCCATTTGGAGTTCTTTTTCTTCTTGACTTACTGGCCTTTTGGGAAAAGAACTAACCCTACCTCGACTGCTGACATTGGAACACTGTCCTAACAGGGCTATCAGGAGATAAACTTAAAGATACTACTAAAATTATCTTTCATTTTTCCTGCTTATGATATAGTCTGTCAGATACTCTAGGCCATAGCCAAAGTTGGTTGCCCTGACATCACTGTGAGACCTTGGGTGACTGTCCAGGTAGCCTGCTATTTCTGTCATTGTTTGTGCCTTTAGGAAGTCACACACTTGCAAGTCCTGCTTACCACAGTGATGCTATTTTCCTTCTCAGGTCTTTGATGAGGTTGAAGACTAGATAGTCTCAGCTAATATTCTGTTTTATCTTAGATAGAACATATTAGGTACAAGACTTATACTTTCCAAAATAGGATAGCAATCAGAGTAATTTCTGTTATGCCATTACCCTGGGGCTGGTCATTTAGTATGTATTTATCGTTTAATGTTGTTCTTGCTGGTTATAGTTCTAAATTTGTGCATGTTTATACATTTCCTTCTCCTGGACTGTATTTGATATTTGCTATCATTGTACATAGCTTTTGTATCAGGCTTAAAAACATCTTGTTTAGACAAAAGGGGAATTATAGTGACATCTTGCTTTGCCAGTGCACTGGCAATGGTGGCCACACCCTTTGGGCCTGGTTTCAGGTTGAGAGGTAACTCCTTATAAAGTAGAGGAGAGGCTGGCTTGAGCTCTCTTGGGTTTCAGTGAGAACATTGAAAGGGCAGAGGCTGCATCTTCTGGAGCAGGAAGACTGTGGTGGTTATTTACTCATCTTTTATCTTGGGTCTGGTGGACTCATTTAAACCCCACCTTCAGAGACTGTTGACTCCTCTCTGAATTTAGAGGAAATGATGTCAGTTTATCTTCACTTACTGTTATTTTGGCTGCAGGTTTGTCATGTATTAAGATATGTTAAAATCTAAGTGTGTTCATGATATTTCTGATTTATAAAATGTTTGTACTACAATGGTGTAGTGGTCTTTTCTGCATCTACAAAATTGATAAAAAATAACCTGCAAAAATTATAGACAATTTGATTTTATTATATGTTTGCTGTGAAAGTTGAGCGTTGTGATAACTTAAAAGATCTGCACCAATGCTGCACTGAGAAATTCCCTTCCACATTACATCCAGGTTAATAACTATGGCCAAAGCAACTGAGCAACAAGGAGAGTTTATCACTTCTGAGGCTAGACCTATTAAACAGCATTAGACTCTTTTCCCTCTATCTCCTCAGTTGATCTGGGAGAACCTAGGTACAGCACCATTAACAGCTCTGCTGAGCAGACTGTGTAAGGAAGAAAGATGTAAGGGTGGTCTTCAAGGACTGACATCTGTTTTCATCATCTATGTAATGAGCAAGCCTTTTTTGCAAGGACTCTGTAGCCCAAGTCAAACTTACAAACAACCCTAGCCCAGTCAAGGTCTTGTTGACAATTTCACATCTTGGACACTTCCAGTAGGGCCAGGAAAATGGCACAGATATTAATTCCTTTCACACCTCATTAGCTTGTTTCTGGTGAAATCAGCAAAATATAACTTGGCTAGAAAAAGTGGCTATAAAGATAAAATTGAAAAATAAGAGTATCTGTATACTATCAATCACATCTAACTAATCGACTAAGCCAGTGATAAACCTAACCTCAATAATCATTATTGACATTCAGGTCTATCCCTGTCAGCTAATAGGATGCATCCACCAGCATTCAGGCAAGTACTTAGTCAGTGCAGTGGTCCTATGGCCATACATCACTATGTCATGTGCTCTATGGCTATGCCATGTGCTGTGTGCCTGTGCAAGGCTCTGTATGCATGTGCAAAGGCTCCCTTTCAAAGCAAGATCTGCCTGTCCCTCACTCTCTGAGGGGACCCAGGCTCTTTTGACCCAACCACTGTCATTTCTGTCAGGGAGCCCGGGGAGGACATCAAAGTATCATGGCAATTCATTGGACACCCGTGCCACAGACTTGGTCCTGAAGGAATCTGGGGGACCCACTTCTCCTTGTTTTCCTATTGTCAGTGTAGGGGGACAGCCTTACCTACCTCATCAGACCCCACAACTCAATTGCATTTTCAGGGGTATTCCTCTAACTCACTCATTTTTGGTTGTGCTAACCTGTCCTGTGCCCTTACTGTGAAGGATCTTTTAGCCAAAGTAGGAACTTCCGTTTCTTTTTCTCACCCCCCCCCATTCACCTGACCACAAACTTGCCAGTGGCACCTCTCATCTTCTTAGCCACCCACTCTACTGGTTCCAATATGTCATTTCCTCTGCTAGCCTCCCAGAGACTCTCAAGTCAGGGATACCCCAAACTCCTCTCTTGCTAGACACCATTACCCCATTTTGTTCAACTACAGGATCCTATATGGTACATTACCCAAGCTTAGTACCATTTCCATTCCAGAGGCTTTGGGGACTTGAACAAATCATCTCTGACCTCCTAACAAAAAAATTCAAATTCGTCCTACATCCTCTTCTTTTAATGCCCCTTACTTGTAGTTAAGAAACCTAACAGAACCTACTGTCTAGTTCAAGATCTCTCAGGCTCATTAATTCTGCAGTAGTCCCTTTCTATCCCATGATGCCTAATCCCTACAACCTTCTCTCTGCTGTCCCTTTAGGGCCCTCTTATTTCTCAGTTCTGGATCTTAAGAATGCTTTTTTCTCTATCCCTCACAGCTCTCAGTCTCAGAATACCTTTTCTTTCATCTGGATTGACCCTGACACTCACCTACCCCAAGGATTTTTGGACAGCCCACATCTATTTTGGCCAGGCCCTAGCCTCTGACCTACTCACCTTGTCTCTCCCCAAATCTAAACTCATACAATATGTGGATGGCGTTTTACTTTGTAGCCTATCCTTAGAAATTAGCCAAACTAACACCTCTGCTTTTCTATATCTATTTTCTATATGCAGTCATGACTATAGAGTCTCACCTTCCAAGGTTCAACTGCTCAATCCTCAGGTCACCTACTTGAGGCTAACCATTATCCCAAGTCACAAAACCATCATTTTAGATAGAAAACACCCAATCTGGTCTTTCACAGTCCCCTCTATTAAAGAGGAAATTTTATGATTCCTAGAAATAGCTGGCTTCCCTCTTTTTCTCTCCTGGCTTGTCCCTTATATGAGGCAGCTCTTGGATCCTCTCATGAACCATTCCTCAATCCCATTACTCAGCCTTTTCAGAAGCTCTAACAGTCTCTCCTGCAGGCTCCAGATCTTCATGTCCCATACCTAACTCATCCTTTTTCCCTCTATGTAATAGAAAGAGAGGGATATGTCCTTGGCTTCCTAGAACACCAGCTGGGACCACCCTTTGTACCTGTAGCATACCTGCCAAAAAATTAGACCTAACCACTCACGGACAGGCAGCCTGCATATGTGCTTTAGTAGCTGCTGAGGTATTGTGAATCAAAAAAAAAAACATCTTTGGATCACCTAAAACAATCTCCCACCACAACCTATCCCATTTCTTAACTAATAAAAGCTTACAAACTCTGTCTCCTTTCCAGGATCTCTCTGTCCAAGTGGCACTAGTACAAGATGCCATACTTACTTTCCAATCTTTCCCACCCCTCAGCATTTAAAATCTTCTTCCTTAGCCCAACACTGACAACTTCCCATATCATTCTTGCATTGAACCCCAGAAAAATTACCACCACATCCTTTATGCATACAGGAGGGCATATGCCTCAGGCCACCTATATCTGGTACACAGATGGCAATTCCTTTTAACATGAGGGAACCTGAAAAGCAGGCTATGCCATAGTGTTATATACTGGGGTGGTGGAAGGACAGGTACTACCTGCCCACACTACTAACCAGCAGGCTGAATAAATAGTTCTCACCTGTGCCTTCCATTTGGCACAAGGATAGCCCCTAAACATTTATACAGACTCCAAATATGCTTTTCATATCCTTTTGGCCCATACTGCTATCTGGAAAGAGTGCAGGCTACATAAAACAAATGGTATATTCATAAGTAACTCTGGTCAAATTATGGCATGCTAAAAGCTTACCATGCCCCCAAAGCTATAGAAGTAGCACTTGGGAGAGTGGCCCCTACACCAAGCCTGAACAACACAGTAGAGCTGACCCTGAAAGTGTAGGTGTGGGATAACTGACCCTGAGGACACAAAAGTGAAAGAACTGGCCCTGGCCCTTGCTCATTACTACAAGGGGTGAACCAGCCAGGACAATGCAGGAGAGCTCACCTTGGTGGTGAGGACAAGGGAGAGCTGGTGGAATGACCAACTCTGCAACTACCCAAGCCCAGAACCAGGGTTATGACTTGGCCCACCATAGCATCTTCCCTGTCTGTGATCTGCTGAAGAATAGGAAGGGACAAGTCCTGAAGACACAATGCGGCAGGATCTCCACGACACAGGGCAACAACAGGGTATCCAAGAGGAGTTCCAGCGAGGACTTGGCATGGACAGTGTAGCTTAAACTGGCGGCCTCAAACCAGACCAATGACTCTTGGCAATGACCACTTGCAAGTTAAGATTTAAGGAAAAAAGGGTTTACTGAATGACTCACTGTGCCACACTACAACTTCCCTAATATTGATTTTTTCCTTTTGTTTTTGGTTTTTCACTTTTAATTTTTTTCTCTTAAATTTTATTTTATTTTGCTTTTTTGGGGGGGTTGAAAGGGCAGAGGGTGGATATGAAGGGACAGTGACACAAAAGGGAGTTAAAAATAGCCACAGAGATTAAGCAGACTGAAAATGTATGTCTATGAAAAAGAGCAGCATCTACTAAGTGTGCAGATGCATCTGCAAATATTAAAATAGACAGATAAAGGAAGAGGCTAGAAAGGCACCAAGTAGTCCGGACTTCAACCACAACAAAGTTGTGTAGACTGTGCACATGACTAAATAAAGAAACTTCAACAGTTTTGGAGTTACAATCCATGAACAAATGTTCTCAAATATTTATGTTGTCAATTTCTCGTCAGTCGCCTCTAGTTTTGGTAAGGATGACTTACTTTCACTAGACACTTTCTTATGCATTTGTCAGTTTTTGAGATAATAGGAAATACACTTTACTTTATGTATTTTTATTTTCTAAATATTTGCCAACATGAAATGAAAGTGAGATTGCTAACATCACTTGATATTAATTTGAAGCTTCTATCTAAGAAAGTGAGAAATTTTAAATAATATGATCCTAAAATAGAATAAAACCAGCTGTATGATTATGTGTGTATGTGTGTGTGTATGCGTGTGTGTGTGTGTGTGTGTAGTCCACTTCCTGTGTCCTGCTGATCAAAATGTAGCTAGTACCATGTCTGCCTACATGCTTCCATGCTCCCAGCATTATGATGATAGACTGAACCTCTGAAAGTGTAAGTGAGTCATCCCAATTAAGTGTTTTCCTTTACAAGTGTTGCCATACTCATGGTGTCTCTCCACAGCAATAGAAACCCTAACAAGGACAAATTTACCATCAAATTACTATATCTTGAAAAAGATGTTAACCTTTTTAATTGTACCAAATAATCTTATCTTTATCACAGCAACTGGTTACTTACTGGCTTTGAACTTTCTTAGAGTCTTCAGAAAAAGTCTAATTGGTGCTTCACAATACTAACTTAGCAGAGTGCTCAGGCAGCCTCAGAATTACGGAGACCCTCCAGCTGTAGTCTTCTTCCGTAGTGCTAGCATTACAGATACAAACCACATTGTCCAACTATGAGCAGTATTTTTACAATAGCCTCTGCCACTACCTTGAGCAACAACACATCACTGAGCCATTCATGCCTCTGCTTCTGTCCACACAGCAAAGCTCTGGCTTGTATACGATGTAAATTTTGGTTACATTGGATAGACCAGGGGAAATACGAACCAAACTTATAACTGAGTCTCCCATCATAATTTCATAAATTGTAGGAGGAAAACAGAACTCCACCATTAACCATGTGACTTATTAGAGGAGCATACAGATGAAGTAATAAAAGG